CGACACTGGCGGATGTTTTTATTATTTTTGTGATAATTTTTTTTATCTTTTTTGTGGTATCGTAGGATGGATCCTAAAACTACGTAACTAATAAAAATAATTACCATAAAAGTAATAAAAATACTCATCTATAATATAAAATAGGGAAGAATTTAATAAACATATCCGATGATTTCAAATAAACTCATCCAACAGTCACTAATATCTCTTTTAAAATTATTTGTATTGCACTGTGTTATCATATACGAATTATCCCTAATAAAATTATAAATAATGGTACAATACCGAGTTTTTATTTTTATTTTTTATTATTAATTCCTAAACTTTTCCCGTGTTAGAAACGCGAAAGATGTGGAAGAGGAATGGTCGGAGCCAGTCCACAAGTCATTTGGGATACGTTTTTTATCGTCAAATAATTTGAATGTGGTGGGGTTTCCATTTTTTTATTTGTACAAAGACCGACGTGAACATGGTGAGAGACTGTAGTCAAAGTCAAACTTCTATGAAACGACGCAATTGCCATTACCGTGATAGAATCGCCATCAATTTACAAACTATTCAAGGTAAATCTCGCTTTGTATAGTTATTAAATAATATGATAGGGTGTTTACTAACATAAGTGAGATTCGCTTGATTATTTATTATACTTTTATTAGATTGTGACATCATGCGTCAATAATAATGTGGTGTCACTGATATACCCACTATTTTTTTTTCCTATTGTAGGTCTATTGTTAATGGATTTTATTATTAAACTCTTATTTGATTAAATCGTGTTGTGTCAAAATTTATTTTTTTTTTTTAATTTTTTGTAATTGTGTAAAAATGAACTTGTATCTAGTCTGATGCAAGAAAGTGTGAATGGAGAAATGAGATAAAACAACATGAACTATAACTTGTTGATTACCACAATAATATCAGATTATAATTTTCAAAAGTTTTATTAATTCCTAAGAATATCAAGTCAATTGAGAATTGACAGAGAATTTGCCTTTAAACTTTATTCAAAATAATTCAAAGCTGTTGAATTAGTTTTCACCACAATTTAAATAAGAAATCTTAATGGTCTGTAATATTGAATCCCAACAATATAAGTGTCATAACTTTTTCACAATTGTTAAACAATTTGACTACTTTTAATTGTTATGTATTTTGACACTGTCACCCAATCATCTGTTTATCCGATCAATGCTATTTTTACGGTCTTGATTTGTCATGTATCTTTTATTATATGTGCTACATCACAGTCAAATTTTTTATTGTGTATAAATCATGTATTATATTTAGTTAGGTTTATCTTAACCTATAGATTGAATGAGGCTAATAGATTTACTTGAATTAATTAGGTATTGCATTCAAGGGTAAGGTCTATAATTGCAAGGTTTAGAGTCGGGACAGACTACATAATTCTTATTTGGATGAAATTTGAGTTCACGATCCACAAGTGGAATTAATTTTATTTAATTAATTGTATTAAGTCATTTGACTCTAAGTCGATCTATTTATGACACAAATTCCCACTAATTATTTGTATAAGTTTAACAAATTTTGTCAAAAATTATTTTCTCTCAAAACTAAGCATGCAAAACATAATGGGACTCAAATCTCGATTCTAGTGGTACACTTACTAAAAAAATCCTTTAAAATCCCATTTGTTTTTTTTTTTTTCCAATTCATTGGTAATAAATTCATTATTTGGATGTTCTTTAGCAGTTATTTCAAATTTGAACAATTATATAACTAATGTAAAATACGAAAGACTTGAAGTGTTTCACTAAATTATGTGCAATTTTGACTACAAGATGTTTGATGGGGTCTTAGTTCGGTGCTTTAGGATTAAAGAAACAGTACAGACACTTTAAGAAGTTTATGATAAGGTACGTGGGACGACAACAACGATAAATCTTCTGTTTGGTAGGAAAGGGTGGAAAGTAGGGAGGATAAAAAGTAAGAAAAATATATTTTCTATTTTTTAAAGAATAAAAATAAGAATGATATACTTTCTTCTTTGTGTTTTGTTGGATGAATGAAAAATAAAAGTAACTATTTTTTTTTTGGGTGCTGACTAAGATTAGGGGTGACAATCGAGTCGTGTCGTGTCAGATTTATGTTGAGTCACGAATTTGTGTTGACCATAGTCACACCAAACTCAACTTATTTAACTAATTTTGTCATGTGAAGTTACAAGTTAATCTGTTTATTTTTGTGTTCAAATTAATTAAGTTCATGTTATAAAATTTATGTCGAATTCGAGTCGTGTTATATTAGATGTTAAAAATATTTTTTTAAGTTACAATTTTTTTTTATTATTTAAAATATATATAAATGTATATTTTATTATTGTATTTTTATATGAAATTAATATATACATAATATACGTATATATAAAAAGATATATAGACAAATATGATACATCTTAACACAAATAATTAACTTTTCATCTATTTTCTTTTCAATTTTGGAAGAATTGATTTGAGTAAGTTGGAAGGAAAGTTAATCTATCCATTTTCTCATCATTCCTATTTTCATTCTTTACTAAATATGATGTTTTATTTATCTATTCAACTTTTCATCCTATTAAATTTTTATCATTCTATTTTTTTTAATACCGAACGGAGCATTACAAAAAATCACAAAGACAATAATACTGTTGACCCAATATGATTACGAACACAAAAGCTCGAGAAAGGCGTGCATTGCAGGCGAGGGGCCGCTAGTTAATTTTTTTTGACTATTAAAAATAGATACATAGTTTCAAAATACACGATGAACGGTAAGAAGTTTCTAAAGACGTTTTTGTCTAATGTAGGAATTTCAGCTTATCCAATTATAATAATATATTTGGTCCATACATGTAAGTTATTAATAGACTTGATCCAAATAACCTAATCAAACAAATGGGCTGAAAAGTCTTTTTATTCATAAGCATTGCATTGATTTTTCATCATACAATTTTTGATTGGTTAATTTGACACAAAATAGATGGATAACCAAACGAAAATAAAACGGTATACCATATTACAACATTTTTATTTTTTTGAAGGTAAATGTAAAAAAATTAATCATTTTAAAGACAAAATTTTTTTTTTATATTTCAGAGGACAAATTGGGATTTACTCTAAATTTTATAAACCACCATTAGACAAATAGGTTATATTAATATCAAACCATAGCAAATGCATCCATTATGGACATTTCGAAATTTAGATCTCCTTTAATAATTTTTTTCTTTTATTTATTTTTATTATAAATCACTCATTATGTTTTAATAAGAACCATTTATATATAGTGAGACCTACTCAAAATTCAGATAAATAAACTTTTTCTTTTGCTCATTAATTAAGATAGATAATCTACTAAGTGAAGAATAGAGGAAAATGGATGTTTCCCTATCCCATTTGGGGATGAGCACTACTAATCTTTCTCCTGGAATTGGAGATTACTACAGTAACATCATCGAATTTTGTTATGTACATAGACGTTGTGTTGATTTATTTGTGATTGTTAGGAATGCGAAATGATTCTCATACCAAAACATAACACATAGACACAAACAATAAAACACCGCAAGCATCAATTACAAAACCTAGAGGGACATGCCCCAGCATGTGAAGGGTAAAAAGGGCACCCCAAGGCTGAGCATTTAACGTCAAGTAGGGATGTGGGTCCACTATTACGCAATGGCGCATAGAGAACAATTGCTTCCACACACAGGTTAATGCACATCGAATCTCATAAAATTTGGATAAAGGTATGACTCTTATTGATTTGAATTTTACGGGTGCACGCAAACTAAAAATTTAGTGTTAACACAATAAATTCTTGACACAGCTGAATAAATGTCCTACAGAGGTCATTAATTGTTGCATGGACACGTATTAAGTGTTTGGGGTTTCGAATAGGATAATTGTTACAAGGCCACATCCTCCCAGATTAATAATCATGCGATTTGAAAGAAGTATAATTTATTGACATATCTTATTATTAGAAGGTATAAAAAACTCAATGAATTGGATATTACGCATTCGCGAGAAACTTAACACAGTAAAAAGTCTTATCTTTCGTTTGAGCTTCTACATACTGCATGGAGGAGATTAGTCCTTCGGTCCCTCTCTGACCAGGTTCTATATGGTAGGAACAAATCCTACAATCTTTACCGTGGTACAACTATCTCAAATTATTACAAAAATAATTCTGTGTATTTAATTTAAAAAAAATAAAGTATAATAACAAAATTTAAAAAATTTACACATATGGTTAATGGAAAAAATAAAATATGATATTAAAAAATATATTTGTGCCCCCTCCGAATATCCTAGTGACTTTTTTTGGGATCTAAATCTCCTATAATATATTTTTTTTTGGACAAATAAATTTATTATAATTAATTTTATTTGAATACATGATAAATAATTTGCGAAAGATAAAATGTATCAGAGGATGCTATGCTACACTTTCTGTCAGTTTACAAAGCAAAGCCTAATTTCAGGCCCACATAGATGACCGTTGGGTGCTCATAACGCGTTAGATTTTAAAGCTCAGAGAGCTCATAAATTTCCACTTTCCATCAGCAACTACGGCCATAAAAAAATGCACACGGACAAATTCGTCCATTACTTTTTTTTTTTTTTGAGTATCACTGTCATCGGTCAGGGATATTTAGTTTAAGTTATGTATATTTAAATTATTATTTTTTATTTAGTTAAAGATAAGTCATTTATATTAAAATTAAAAAATTCATAAAAATAAAATTCTGGTGATGAAACCCAAAAAAATTATAAATATCTCCCTCAATGTCTAAGTTTAAGTACAGACGAGATCAGACCCTCAGTATAAAACTTGGTAATTTAAGAGCCTTTATTGAAAAACATGATATTCTCAACAATATCAACGACACCCTTCAATTCCTCCATAAATTATCACAAGTCAAAATTCTCGTCCTCGCAATTACTTGGAATTTTCTTCACTCCTCTCCTTTTCTTTTGTCTTGCGGAAAGGTCATGATTGCTTCATTCACCTCCAATTTAGTCCTTCGATTCACCTTGTTGATGATGATGAGAATTCGACCAACAGTTTTCCTACTTGTATTTTCGTTCTTCATCGTTTCACCCAGTGAAGGGGATAATTCAACGCACTGTAGTCAATACTGCAGAGGCAGGAGAGTAAATCGTTATCTTCCGTCGCCGTTTGGGTTCACCGCCGGTTGTGGAGTCCAGTTAAATTGCAGTGAAAAAGGAGACATCAAAATTGGGGAATTTCAAGTTCAGAATGTGACTGCAGATTACATATTGGTCAATATTCCGCCGAAATGCAACCGTCCGATCGAAGATCTCCGGCAAGTGAACGGTGACAATTATGCGCTGTCTTGGAGGAATGGTTTTCTCTTGCAAAACTGTACCTCACCGTCGAATGATTGTGTCTTACCATATAGTCTGGTGGAGAATCGGTTCCAATTACAGGATTGTGAATCGAAGGGAGATAATATAAGTTGTTATTCAGAAGCGTACAGCGGTTCAGAAATCATGGACTTCAACAACTTGAGAAGTACCAATTGTAAGGTCTTGTTCACGTCGATCGCTGTCGATTTGAGTAATAGTTCGAGGAACAATTCGGCGGTGTCGCTGGAGTTTCAGACGTTGGAGTTGCAGTGGTGGTTGAGAGGGCAGTGCCAGTGCACAAATAATACGATTTGCAAGAAGTTTTCGCTTCCCGACGGAGCGACAGGGTTTCGGTGCTCGTGTAAGGATGGGTTCGCCGGAGATGGATTCGCCAGCGGTGGTGGTTGCCGGAAAGGTTAGTCCAAGTACCAGGCATTTACTTTTGTGTTTTTCTTCATTTATTTTATTCTTATTTAATTTGGTCATGGTGGATGGCCTAATATGCCTTTGACAGTGTGTCGCATTTTGTGTTTGCGTACCAATCAGAAGGCGCCACCTCAGTGAACTTTGTCATTCCCATTGGAAATGTTGTGGCCATAAGGTCATAAATTTTCTTATGTAATGACTAAAATAGCCATAGATATTCTTGGCAAATCTATAGCAACTGAAATTTATATTTGGGGGCATTTTGGTCATTATAGCCCAATGAATTTAGTCTTCTAGAAAAAATGTGGAAGTTAGCTTGTTAAAGTGATACAAAATGGTTGAATGTTGGGTATTCTTTTTTTAAATAACTATTTGGAGAATGATTCAAATTGTTTGAATTAGCATACGTGACACTGCATTTTGTGTTTTGTTTTGTTCATGTATTGAGCTTCCCGTTGTGTTTGATCTTCTCAAACTTATTATAAAATGTAAAAAATATTAGTAATATGAAAATAATTATACAGTTGGTGGTAGCAAATGCTAGAAAAGTGTTTTTTTTTTGGTATGCGTAAAGAAGGAAAGAGATATAGTTGGGGAGGAGATAATGTGGGTTTTAAAAATGGGTAGAAATCAGCTGTATGGTTACTAGTCTTCAGCCTGGCGGTGTTGCAAGTTTCATAATTGGACAGTAGAGGGTAAGATTTGTTCATATTGGTGCCTCGGAAGATTTTTCAAACTGCATAGTTGTATGTAGACGGGGTTTCTAATGGTCAACAAAGGCCAAAAAAAGGGCATTTGCCCCTGGAAACATTCAAAAATTATCTTTACTGGTTTGGATGGTGACTTGCCAAATAGATAATCCGCCAAGTCAAAACCTTCTTTGCTTCAATTCATTTCTCAATTGAGTGTTAATTAGATGGTGGCATGCTGCACATGGCCATTTGATAGCTTTCTATTTTAAATGTGAAAAGGTCAAAGAGAGGCTCGTGGTTGTAGATAAACATTGTCTTTGCTAGACAGCAAAGTAGCAAACTAATAGGACCATGAGCCTGGCCAATGACCAGTCTTCTTCTCTATTCTAATCTTTATTCATATGCTGAGATCCTAATTGATAGGAAATTTGCAAGAGGAATTTTCAAAAGAACAGGAAATATTGGCGCAAGAAAAACAAAACAAGTTACTGACAATGCTTATCACTTGTTGCACTAGGAATCATATCCTTGTGCAAGACTGGCGGGTATAAATGTCATAAAAACATTAAAAACTACATTGATACTGATGCCACTGTGTCTTGTTTTTCACACCCGAACAAAGTGGTAGAAACACCAAATATTCCACAAGTTTCTAACAGAAATTCCTTCACATTAAGACGACATTATTTTGATAAAGCTTTCTTTGGATAATTTTTTAATGATCAGACAGGCTAAATAGTGTAACTAGTTTAAACAAAATCCAACTGAACCATCATGTTTCTGTTCAAAACCTGAGTATGATGCCTATTCTTTCTGGAGTATTTTTTTCCCCTTCCAAAAATATGTGAAAAATCAAAAAACTTCTACATTGTCAATCATATGATAATCTGAACAATTACCTTACAGAGTATATACTCTTATCAGTTATTAGTTGTTATACTATAGTACATGATACATTTTCTGTTGCTTCAATGCTGTCATTCCATCGGAATGCTTTTGCCAACATGCAAATTAAAAGCATCCTTAGATGCATGACTGCTGAAGTAACTGAATTTATCCTTCTAGATTTTCCTCTGTTATATCTGCTAATACTTTCTTATTTTGATTTCCATGTCATCGGTTCCTCTGTTATATCTGCTAATACTTTCATATTTTGATTTCCATGTCATCAGTTTCTCGTTGCAAACCCTTCTAAGTACATGTCAGGCCGATGTGGAGGAACTACAAGGGTTGGTGTTCTTGTTGCAGGTAATCTTTCTAATCTTAAATGGCAGTAG